TGGACATACCCAACACACCAGGTAGAAGGAAAGTACAGGTGTCAGGCTAACGGAATGGACAAAGGTGGTCACCCGCTGTCTGTCTGGGCCGACACAGTGGTAGAAGAAAGACCGTAGGTTCTTATAGGATGTTATATAGACGGTATTTGTTGTTGTTGTTGTTGTTGTTGTTGTTGTTGTTGTTGTTGTTGTTGTTGCTGCTGCTGCTGCTGCTGTGGCTACTACTGATGATGGTGATGATGATAATGATGATGATGATGATGATGATGATGATGATGATGATGATGATGATGATGATGATGATGATGATGATGATGATGATTCCTTACTGGACCTGGCGGACTCCGCGAAGAAATCTTCGAGCGAGAGCGAGGCTCTTTTTCGGCTCCATTGTCAATATGCTTTGCGGCACCCCCACTCGTCCAAATAACTCCATTCGAATTGTCATTGTTCCTGGACATTCAAACATATGTTTGACATCCTCCTTCTCTTGGCCGCATTATCGACAACGTGAGCTGAGCTCTTCATTTACAAAGATCTTATACTCCAATGATGGTCCGACCGCAGTCTCGCTAGCTCAACCTGGTTCCAGCGACATGTGACATTTTGTTCCCGCTTATAGGAGTACCCAAAATACACATCTTCTAGGAGCTGGTACTCAGCTCTGCATGGTGGGTCTCTGATTTCCCTCTTGATCATTGGAAAGACTCCTCTGTATGTTGTTGGTCGTCTGTCTCCTTCGATCTCTCTGGCTTCATTAGCAGCTTGGTTTACTGCCTCATTTCCTTCTATTCCAACATGTCTTGGAATCCACTGGATTTTTATAGTGGCTGTGGCTTCACTGAACTTGCAGCACAAATTATTTATGTCCGAGCTGTTGCCGAGCAGTCCCTTGCAGAGTGACTGATTGTCAGTCAAGATCAGTGCATTGGTTCTACTGGGGCAATTGTCAGCAATCCATTGTGCAGCAGACATCATTGCCTGGAATTCCTCGTCATAAGATGATGTAAGGAATGTACCTTTAGTTTTAATAATTTCTGTTCGTGGTGGTTCATCAATCATTTTCACCACTGCTGCTGCTCCACCTTTGCTTTATCCTACTGCAAAAGCCGATCCATCGGTGAAAATTGTCACATCCGCACCAACCTCTTTGATCACATCCTCTGCAGTGTCACGTGCCTTTACAGGATCATCACCTTTGCCGTTCACTCCTCTCAGTTGTGTCCGATTTTGATTTCTCCATGGGTGTCCCATGGACAAGCTCTCACCAGATTGATCGGCCATCGATTCTCTGCTTCGGGGGGGGGGGGGGGGGGGAGTAGTCTGTGAGATCGGTGCCCATCCGAAACCAACTTTTCCTGCGTTTTTTTGGCTTGACTGCTTGATCAAGGGCTTTCTTTCTAGGATGGTTGTCTGGTAATCTCTTAGCCATCTCTACAGACTTGAGGCAGGTTCTTTTTGTACAGGTGGTGTAGTGCTCAGTTCTGGTCTCATAGCGCAGCGCTTCTGTTGGTGTTGTCTTCAGCTGACCTGATACAAGTCGGAGGGCTTTGTTTTGTATTCTATACAGGGCCTTTGCACTAGTCTCACTCAGCCAAGGCTGCCACGCTGGGGCAGCATAATCCATCTTGCTTTTCACAAACACCTGATACACTTTCTTGAGCGACTCCTTACCCCAGCCCCATTTTGAGTTGCTGACAGCACCGATAACCTTCATTTTTGAGGTTGCACTTTTGGACACTTCCTCAATGTGCTTGTTGAAGGTTAGCTGTCTATCCCGGGTAGATGCTCAGCAGGCGTGGAGTGGGGTTGAATGGTATATTTTTCCGTTCGATCTGAATTATTGGTTGCCCCGTTGCCTCTTTCACCCATGTTGAGAAGAAGCACACCTCATTCTTGGTTGCATTCAAGGTAAGCTTCCATTCTTTGCTCCATTTCACAACCATATACACAATCAACTGTGTCGCTTCATTTGCCTTTTCTCTCTTTGCGTGAATGGCCAGTATTGTGCAGACATCAGCCAACATTGAGTAGATCAGCTTGGCGGAGGTTAGTTGTTGTGAGCAAGGGTTTGGGAAGGATTCTGCTAGGTTGTTTATGAAGAATATAAACAGCAGCGGTGATAGTACAGCTCCTTGGGGAAGCCTTTGCTTGAAATTCTGGCTATTGCTCGTTTCTCCATTCAGGCGAACACGCACGAGCTTGTCTGTTTCTCAGGAAACCATCGATCCATCTGATTGCACGCAACGGAACTCCCTTGTCAGCTATTGACAGTAATAGTCTTTCACACCAAACCGTATCATATGCTTTGGAGTAGTCCAGCAGGACTAGGACAGATCGATGGAATGTTGGATTTTGTTGAAAACCATCCTCAATTCCTTGACAAATTCTGTTCGTTGAGAACAGTACTCCCCATTGTGAAGGGGACGGATTGCCACTTTGAGTACCTGATATAATGTGTAATGTGCATTGAGCATAAATGCTATTTATTACTATTATTATATATAATATGTGTGTATTGATATAATAAATTATATATATATATATATATATATATATATATATATATATATATATATATTTTCATGTATGTGTGTGTGTGTGTGTGTGTGTGTGTGTGTGTGTGTGTGTGTGTGTGTGTGTGTGTGTGTGTGTGTGTGTGTATGTGTGTGTATAGGTATGTTTCTGTGTGTGCAAAAATTATTATTATTATTATTTTTCACTCGAAAAATTGTTTGTTTGTTTTTTCTTAGAATCGGCCCCGACATGATTCTAGACAGGATGAAAGAAATGGACACAAAAATAAAAGAACTGGACGCAAAAGACAAAGAATTGGAATCAAAGATAAACGCAATAGATGCAAAGGGCAAAGAATTGGACGTAAAGGAAAACGAAATGGACGCAAAGATCAAAACAATAGAAGCGAGGGAACAAGAAATGAACTCCAAAGTGAACAACTTCAGAACTCGTTTGGAAAACTCCAAAGACGCCATAATTTCCGCAACAACTAGCTATCGCGGCCACAACTACTTACTCTCCAAACCAATACTGGTTAACGTACATGAAGCCAATCGTCTGTGCCGGCTCTATGGCGGGTATTTGGCGGAGATCAACGACAAGCAAGAGTTCCAGCTCCTGGCGGACTTCTCCAACTCTCATGAGTCCGTTACTATTGACGTCATGCTGGGTGCTACAGACGAAGGTCATGAGGGAAGGTGGACATTTCTCACTTCTAGAGGCAATATGACGTCATTTGTGTGGGAAGTCTCACAGCCGACTGGGGGAACGGATCAAAATTGTTTGTATTTATCTACAACCGCGAAGAAAATGTTTGACGATGCCTGTCTGAAATACTCTTCTTCTTGGCCAAAGAGGTTCCTGTGCGAAGTAAATGCTTAATTTTTTTTTTTATATCTCAGAAATAATGTTCCCCCTAAATGAAGAAAAAAACTCACCTGCTTAATGTCAATGTGGATTTAGTCTAGTGGAATTATTTTTCAGTAAATTGTGTCAGTAAAACATTGTTTGACCTGTTTGTTCCCCTGTATTAGTTACAATTGTGGGCCTATCTGGGCAATGAGTAAACGAAATAAATGAGCACTACAAATCTTATATAATGCCAAAATGTGTCATGACGAAAAGGAATCGGGTGCTCGTGAATTGTGGGAAATATAGAGTTATTGCTAACATTTTAAAGCTTGTTCACTTGTCTTTCTTGAGGTGAAAAAAAAAGCCAATGTTCTTGAATAGAAGTGGAGATGTTTGCGGAGATCAAGGTAAAGCAAGAGTTCCAGCTCCTGGCTGACTTCTCCAGCTCTCATGTGTCCAGTCTTACTGACGTCATTTTGGATGCCACGGACGAGGGTCATGAGGAGAGGAGGACATTTCTCACTTCTGGAGGCAACATGACGTCATTTGTGTAGGGTGACTCGGAGTCGGGTGGTGGAGCGAATCATAACAGTTTGTATTTATCTACAGGCACGAAGTATATGTTTGACGATTATTGTGTGAAATATTCTTCAAATTGCCCAGTTGGGTTCATGTGTCAAGTTTCTGCTTGATAAATTTGGAAAGCCGTGGAAAATGTCTTTACCCCCCCCCCCCCCCCCCCTATCTTACCCCTTAATGAAATAAAGAGTATGTGCTTAACGTGGATATTTGTAGCTTCAGTCTTGCTCTACTTTACTTTTTCCTTCCTCTTGTATTGTAGGATCTCGGGGAAGGGGGGGGGGTAATTTTCGGTAGGGCTTTAGTTAATTAAATCAATTCACTGAATCGTGCCATTAAAACATTGTACGGCCTCTTTGTTTCCATGCAGTAGTTACGATCAGGGGTGGTTCGTCAACTGGGCAAGGCCGGTCACTTTTTATCGGCTGGACGGTGGACAAGGGATTTATTGCTACTAACAATGTTCATTCAGTTTCAAGTAAGTCACAATTAGTATTAATTGTCAACATTTAAAAAGCACTTCATCGATTTGAAAGCGCCCCAAAAAGACGATAGGGGTTCACTGATAGGTTGATGCACTACAAGTTATTCTCTTTCCTTCCTCTCTGTTTTATTAACGGTGGCTCGCAACTGTGTTGTCACCGCTTCCTATTGCTACGTTCAACTTCGCGCGAACACCGCGAGACGTCCCTGTGCCTAGTCGGCTATTTCACAAACTGTCTAATTAAATTTGTATTTTTGGTCACCCTTGGTTCTGTTTTTGATGTTCTTTTCATCCCTTACTTCGTACTAAAACCTTCCCTGCTGAACGGCGCTTTTAAAAAATGGCCAGTCACGTTATATAGACAAAGTTTTATTAAGGAGGCCCTCGGCTGACGGAGTCTGGGCCATCAAAATAATACCCCCCCCCCCTCCCATTCTCCCTCACCCGACCACGCATTGGGTTCTTTAAATAGTATTTGATACAGATCTCTACAGCCTAATGCAGTTTTCTGTGAAGTGTGCTATGTTCAGTGGGTGAACATTTAAGTACTCCGTTGTTTGTATCTGATTCTAAACTTTGATCTGCATGGGACAGCGTCATGGCATTGGTTCGATAATCCATTATTTCTTCAGACTACCTTAATTAGTAAACTCTATAATATTAATAATAATAGTTTTAGTTTTAGTAGAGGTTTTACGGCGCTCGCAGCTGCTTCAGGTCATATGAGCGCCAGAAGATTAGGTGTTACAAGAGAGTAACAAACATAAAAGGAAGTGTCTACGTACTCCCCGATTGGGGTCTACGTAGTCATTGTGTCTAGGTGGACCCCAAAAATGTTGCATTGTGATTGGCTCGCTGAGCGAGCGGTTGTTTACATTGGTTACAATGCAAGGCTGCTGATCGTCTCGGGCGGTGTGTCGATCTAGTGTTACTATAATTTATTTATTTTAGCCCAAAGAGAGAGAGATTATTTAATGAATAAACGTATCTAGATCTAGAATCTAGATCTAGATTTTGTTGTGCACCCAGCCAAGAGTGTGCAGTTCGGAAAGTAGATGATCTAAATCTAGTGGTGGCCTGGTGGGCGAATGACCGAAGAGCGACTCTTGACTAGATCTACTCCCCTGTGAATTGGCGGAAACACACCAGCCTAGGCCTATCATGCAACTTGATTCACAGGTCTACTATCATAATTATCAACAGTAGGTCTACTTGCTTCTGTAGGCCTGGAGTCTACTAGTTTCAAACGGCTTCTTTTTCGGTGCACGGTTTCGGCACTCCTGTACAACTGTGGTCCCGTTTGTTTACATGACGGCCATTGTGGGAGTGAATCTAGATTTCTAGATCTAAATCTAGATCTAGATCATCTAGATCTCTAGATCTCTAGATTTAAGATTCTAGATAGACAGCATAATCTATCTATATCTAGATCTAGAATCTTAATCTAGACCGAACTGCAC